AAAAAAAATTTGCTACCAATACTTCTCTTAATGTTTATTTACTTTTTTTTCTCTTTTTATTAAATATATATAATTTACTTATTTTTTTTTTGTAATCGATATATTAATTTTGTTATATTATTACTATTATTATTATTATTATTATTAATATTATTTTTTAATTAAAATTTCATTCGCGTATTAATAATAATAATAATGACGACGACGACATTTATTTTATTATTTTTATAAAAAAATTTTTTTCCAAAACGTGTTAAATTTTTTTAAAAATAAATTTATTAAAAAAAAAAAAATAAATATTAAATAAATAAATAAATAAAACTGCTTTCAATAATACGAACAACTTTATAGTAACAAGTTGTGAAATATTTTATTAACATATTAATTTAAATTATTATGTGAGTCATTCCAGTGAAGTAATTCCAGGTAAAAAAATATTTGGAGAAAAAAAAAATTTCTACATTTTTCAAAATTGATGTAATTTTTAAAATTTGTTAAATTCGCTGATTTATTTAAAACGAATACGTTTTTTTTGGGGGTGAGGGAGAGGGGAGGTGATGGTGGGTGAATGGGGAAAAGTTAAAGGGTGTAAAAAAAATATGTGTAATTTTTTTTAGGGGTTGTCGATGAATCGATAACAAATTATCAATCGGATGGAAACGTTAGATCTAATTCGAGTTCAAATTCAGGTAGTAGTCCGACAATTAATCAAGGTTCGATGCTAATTGTACCTCAACCTATAAATGCGACAAAAAATGGTAGCACACATGGTAACACATCCACAGGAGGAGGAGGAGGAGGAAGAAAATACAATTGTAAAATGTGCCCTCAGGTAAACAAAAATTTTTTTTTTATGTATGAAATTATTAATTATTTATTGCATGATTTTTTTCTCATCGTTAATAAATAAACTATTAATAATTATTAAAACAATTACTGGATCTATGTAGTATACAAATTAAATTTTTTTAAAAATTAATTAATAATAATAATAATGAAAAAAAAAGAGAAAAGAGATGCTGTTGTTGATATACAAAAGGAAAACTTGTTGCCCTTGACTCCATAGATTATTTTTTTTTAAAAAGTTTGAATATAGGTAAAATAAAAATTTATTTATTTATTTACGGTTTATTATCATCATGTAGATGATGATGAGGGGTTAAAAACAATAAGGATTACATGTAGCAGGTATGCCAACCTAAAAAACTTTTATCATTTAATAGTAATATTTATTGTTTTTGATCTTTCTACTTTTTCCCTCCCCACACCCCCAACCCCGAAAAAAAAAGAGAAAATGAAAAATAATGTTGTGAAGATATCGATAATAAAATTGTGAAACCCCCCTCTCTCCCCCCCAAAAAAAAACATAATAATAATAAAAAGGATTATTTACGACGCATGGTAAAAAAAAAGGTTTTTTCTTTTCGGTTTCGGTGTAAATTTTTACCGGATTTGTATCGTATTTGTACCAAAAAAAAATTTCAATCGATGAAATGATTATTATTGATTAATAAGGTATGTTTTAAGGTACACAAATATAAATTAAATTTTATTTAAAAGACTTTAATTAAAAAAAAAAAAAAATTGAAATTTGATATAAAAGGGATACTACTGAAGGGTTAATAATTAATAAGTTTAACACCTGGTTTTTTGTTTTTTTTTTATTTTAGAAAAAAAAAATAATATAAAATTTAATATATTAATATAAAAATATAATATTCTAAAATAATATTTACATTATATATATTTATATAATTTTTTAAATAAATTAATAATTATAAATAAATAATTTGAAGGAGAAGGAAACCCATTCGATTGTACCTACATTCGTTGGTACCGATAATTTTTTAAAATCGTTTAATTTAAATTTTATTTATGTATACATAATTAATAAATTATTAAACGAGAAAAAATAAGTTTAATAAATTTATTTATTTATTTTTTTTTTTAAATTTTGTTTAATTAAAAATTTTTAAAAATAATTATTTTAAATCATAATCGTATGCAAAAGTTTTTCTTCTTCTCTTCTTTTCAACCATTAACTATTATTCATAATAATAATAATAATATATTAACCGAAAACAAGGGTCAATATTTAAAAAGAAACTTAGGGGATGAAATAAAAATCACCCTTATATATATATATAATTTTTAAAAAGACGATTACCATAATTTTTTTTTTTTTGTATTGTTTTTATTGTCAGTAAAGGAATGACCGTTATAAAAAAAAAATTCATCCTCTTTTTTCTTCTTCCTTTACATATATAATTTCATATTTATTATTATTATTATTATTATTATCAGGTTCATATAATATAAAAATAAATAAATTTTTTTTAATTAATAAGTAAAGATTTGTTTGTTTGGGAGAGAGAGAGAGAGAGAGAGAAAGGAGGATTTCAATGGGAAATTTCAATAATTGAATCAAGTTGTGATAATAATAATAGATTAATTTTAGGTAGGTGGGGTGGGTGGGGGTGGGGGGAAACATATAAATAAATAAATTGATTTTTTTTTGTTTTGTTTAAACCGAAATGAAATTTAAGTTTGCGGTATAAAAAAGGAGTTCAGGTATCGATTCAATTAAGCAAAAAAAAAAAAAAAATACGTTAAAGATTAATAATAAATTGAAAATTTAAAATTTTTAGTTGATTGATAGGCAAAGTGCATTCACTCGAACAGGAGTTTGAGAAAAAAGAAAGAAAATAATAATAATAATAATAATAATTTGACTAAAAAATCTGTATTAATGCGCCTGCCATGCGCTCGCTACGAAAGAGAGAAAAAAAAAAGGAAATGTTTTTTAAAATGCTAGTACATTCTGTTATATATTTTTTCCTATTTTTTTTTTTTTTAAATTTTTTTTTTTGGTAAAAAAGTTAGTAGCTCTAAGGGATCTCTTTGCATCTTAGTAAGAAGACGATCAAGTTGATTTTTTTTTTTTTTTTGTGAGGGGGGAGAAGAACAAAATTAAGTAGCATCTGGTTCTACTAAAAAAAGTTTACATGAGTCAAACCAACTTATTTTGTATGAGAATGACGCCTTATTATTATTATTATTATTATTTTTCTTCTTCTTCTTCTTCTTCATCTTCTTCTTCCTACCATCTTTCTTTTTATTACTTCTTTCTAGCTAGCTAGCCTTATACATCTTATGGGTCTCCTTGAAAAAAAAACCATTTTAACCCCCCTTTAAAAAAAAAAAAAAAAGAACCCTCTTTTTTTTTTTTTTAAACGGAGAAATGTTTATTTTATATAATTTTTTTTTTTTTTTCGATTCCATTTTGAATTTTTTTTTCTCTCTCTCTTGCAAATAATATTTTGATGAACGAAAAAGAAAAAAAAATTTCCTTTTACTTTTACTTTTGTAAATGGTTTAATGCGGTGAATTTATTTTTTGGATGTTGGTATTATGATGGAGAGAAGAAGTACAAGGACGTTAGGAATAAATAAAATTCCAAAAATTAATTTATTATTATTATTATTATTATTTTTATTCTGGATGTTGTTTTAAAAAAAAATGCAAACTGTTGAATAAATTTTCTTTTTTTCATTATTGCGAATAATCGAGAATGCGGAAGACATTTAAATGAAAAAAAAAAAAAAAATTTTCTTTCTTTTCACTTTTTCCGAAATTTATATATAAAAAAAAAAAAAAAAAAAAAAAGTGTAGTAGCAGGGGTAAGTATTAGGTTTGTATTAAAAAAAAATGCCTTTCACTAGACATTTTTTTTATATAATTTTTTTTTTTTTTTATAAATTCAAGTCGAACAAAAAATTACCAAAAAAAAAAATTTTTTTTTACGTTTTTTTTTTTTTTTTTTTTTTTTTTTTTTAAGCATAAAAAAATATTGAATGACGGATATAATAGGTTTTGATTGGAACCCAATCGTTTTAACGTAAAATGACTCATTCTCATACTGCGAAACGTAATTACTCAAGTTTTTTTACAATACTCACACAATAACTGGGATCTTTTGTTTTTTTGTTTTTATTACGCGTATGCTAAACATGGGTCGCGTTCACCTTTTACAATTTAGCCTCAATATAAAAAAAATTTATCGTGTTGAAATGAGAGCGGTTCGTATGTTAAACATGGTCAAACCACTTCTTCTTACGATCGTTTTTTACAAACCGTACATTTTCCTTAGGACTCTGAAATCGTAACATGAAAAAAAATTAAACATGTTTTGCTTATGGGTAAAATGAAAAAATAATTTTTTTTAATCGGACTCGAATAAATGTACGTAGAAAAAAATGTTTGATTTTTTTCGTTTGGTTTTTTTTTTTCTTTCTTTCTCTTTTTTTTCTCTCTCTCTCTCTTTTTTTTTTTTTTTTTTTTTTTTTTTTTTTGGCGGGAGTTTAGAGCGCAGGAATAAAAAAGTTAGTTTTTGTAAATTGGAAAGGGAACCCCGGGATTTTTTTTTTTTGGTGTTTTCTTTTTTTGCATTTTTTTTTTTTTTTTTGTTGTTTTTGATCACACACACAAACACACACACGCATACACACACACACCCACACTCTTCTAAATGACAAAAAACTGAAAAAAAAAAAAAAAAAAAAAAACATTTGAATGGTTATTGGATTAAACATTTTACGGTTTTCTTCATGTAGTTGTTTAATTTCGGATAAAAATTTTTTTTTTTTTTTTTTTTTGGCCAATTCACCCTGCCCCCCTAAAGGTGAATTTTTTTTTCTTTTTTTTTTTTTTTTCATTGTTTATTTATTTATTTATTTATTATTAGTTTTTTTTTTTTTTTTTGTTTAATGGTTCCTTGAAATATTTAAACGTTGCTTTTTTTTTTTTTTTTATAACTGTGTTTCATGACTTACGAAGCATTTATT